TTAACATTTCTGATAATGCCATCTATAGACGCTATAGATTTACTTCAACAAATATTTCGCCATTGTCCTTTTTGCAATGCCTGGATTTTCCCCAACGTTCACAGTGCATGGCCAACTACATCACAAAATGGGTGATGATCACCTAATGAACAGCCACAATTTTTACGGTGTCAAATCATTCAATGTATGGAGCTAGCAACTGTGCCAGAAAGACGAGTTTGCTCGCACGTGGAATGCGTCACGAAAACAATGGAACGTTGCGTGCAGGGCGCACCCGTCGACGGTTGGCCTGGTGTGAAAGCCTTAGATGCCCACGGTAGAATTTATACCGTACACATAACACACTTTGAGTGTTATTGTGTACGGTTGCTGTTGCTATTACTAGAAGCCGGGGTCCTACCAGTTTTCAAGCGCTCAAAATCGTCGATGGGCAGGAAAAGGCCACTTTTCAAGAAGCATGTGAGGCGATGAAGCTGCTTGAAGACGACGGCCACTGGGACGCAACGATGGAGTGCGCAATGTTGTGCCGGTCAGCGACTACGATGAGAGAGCTCTTTGCGATTATGATAAGCACCTGCGGACTCTCCAACCCCCGGCAATTGTGGTACAAGTATAAAAAGCGCTTTGTCAGAAGTCATTGCTCGCCGATACCAAGGGATCATCATCATTATCAGCCTATTAATGTCCCCACTGCTGGGGCACAGGCCTTCCCTATGGATGGAATAGGGAGATTGGGCCATGACCCACCGCGCGAGCCCAGTGCGGATTGGTGGGTGCTAACGATTGCAGATGCAGCCTGACGGCTTAACGTGCCTTCCGAAGCACGGAGAAGCTCGAGATTGTAAATTTTTGGTCACCCATCCAAAGACCGACCACTGCGAAAGTTGCTGAACTTCAACGATCGCAGCTGAACGCGCTAACCACTTGCGCCATCGAGCTCCTCGACAAGGGATAACACTAGACATATTTTTTAAAGAAGCGCTGAAAGTCTTTTTTCTTGGACGCACCAGGGGGCACCGGCAAGACTTTTTTAATGAACTTGCTGCTGGCACAGTTGTGCAAAGACAAAGTGGTTGCGCTGGCTGTTGCATCCTCCAGAATAGCTGCAACCTGGCTGAGTGGTGGCAGAACCGGACACTCAGTATTCAAGCTCCCGCTGAAACTTGCAAGGGAAGAAACGCCCATTTGCAACATCAGTAAAAGAAGTAGTCGTGGTGCTCTATTGCAATGGTGCAAATTGATCTTATGGGACCGAATCGAATCTTTATTGGTGGAGTGGTCGTCTTTCTGGCAGGTGATTTTTGGCAGACGTTACTGGTTATCGAGCGAGGTACCTCGGCAGATGAGATAAACGCATGCCTCAAGGCTTCGCCGTTGTGGGATAATACCTATACCATGTAGAATTCTTAAATTCCCTCGACCTGTCAGGGCTGTCTGTCTGCCTGTCATACTGATGCGTAACCTGGACGCGCCCAGACTGTGTAACGGCATTAGGTTAAGCATCACGGCACATCGTCTAGGCCACCATTCTTACTGGAGGGGCCAAAGGAGAGACGGTATTGATACCTAGAATCCCTATAATACCCACAAACTTACCCTTCCAGTTCAAGCGCCTACAATTTCCTATAAACGTGGCTATCTCTATTACAGTAAATAAAAGTCAAGGACAAACTCTAAAAGTAGCAGGCATTCACCTGGGCACCTTCTGCTTTTCCCACGGACAACTGAACGTGGGTTGCTCCCGTGTGTCGAGAGCAAGAAACACATTTTATTTACGCAGATAACAATAAGTCCCGCTTTGTGGTTTACCGGGATGTGCTGCAGTAAAGTGATTTCTAGGTCTCGCTCTACGACCCGAGACAAAAAACAATTACATAAGACAGCATAATCATCTCTCCCGTTCTGTCAGTTATCAAATTTTGTAAATTGATCGTTCCGATGTTTAAGTTTAAATTATTTTGCTTCTAAAAATGTGAATAGTCATTGTTTTTACTGTTAATACACAATTTATTTTCCCTAATAAGCCGCGGGTAACACCGCGGGGCACAGCTAGTTAAGAAATAATTATAAGATTGTATGTACTATTAGTAACTAGTTTTGTTTTGATTTAATTTGATTAGATTGTGCTAAGTTAAGTAGATTGTATGTATTATTAGTAATTAGTTTTGTTTTGATTTGATCATTAAGTAATTAATGATATTTAATTGTTATAGATACACTTAATTAAGCGTAGAGGGATATAATGTAGGTAGGTTGAACTTCATATTTATGAATAGACGTGTTAGTACAGTCAATCTGTAGGTTGAGGGTTGAAAAAAAAACCTAAAGGGTAAGTCTTGTTTTTTCTGTTGCCAAATGACATCAGTAAGCCACCTTGGCGATGGGCATGTTCAACTCGTAGGCGTTTTTTTAAAAACTCAAAAAAACCGTCAAAAATTTTTTTAAACGCATTTTTCTTATTTTGTATGCATTTTAGAAACTTTTTTTTTACCATAATTGTAGAGGGCGTTGAGTACTACAATTTATGTCAATGTTGCAATCTCATACAACAAAAAATGCGCATTGTAGGTGGCGCTGAAGTCTCAAAAAAGTGTTTTTTCACTTTTTCACCCTGAAAATATCATTTTAATGGAAAACTTTAAATGGCAAAGTTGTTTCGTACATAATTACCAACAACTTTTGTATAAACAATTTTTTTTGTATTACTTACCGTTTTCAAGTTATAAATTAAAGGCAGTTCAAGTACACATTTGCAGTGCACATTTCAATGTACGTTTTTACTATTTTTTTTCAATCATGAAAAAAAATAAAAATAAAACTATTTTTTTTTCATTTTTTTTGTTTTTCAATCATGAAAAAAAATTACCTTTAGGTTTTTTTTTCACTGAAACGATATTTTTTTCGACAGATTGACTGTACTATGTCTATGTCAAATCAGTCGTGAATAAACGCTAACTATCACTGGACGTATGCAGTTTGCTTTACCGATTCCCGCCAAAACACTACAAGAAGTATGACTACTACATTTAATGGCACACTGAATGTGCATCGAGTAACTTGGAGCAAAAATTACCCAGGATTTCTTCACGCTAGACAGTTAAGTTCTATGGATTGCCCTTCTTATCAAATCTGTCCTCATTACGAAATAGCTGTGGTTAACACAGACTTTTCATAATACATGCGAACCTTCTTCCTCACCCCCTAACTTGTTTTCAATTTTCGTCGTTTTCTCGGAAATTACTAAGAAATAACATCTGTGTCTAATAATAATGTGTATTGTTTCTGTTGATTAATATAATAAACCCAAAATAATTAAAGATTAACGAGATTTTTATTTTAAATTATTTTTCTACAAACGTAGAATAAGCCTTATAATTTTGATGTCGGCTTTCAATTTGACGATACTGTATGAAATAAAACAGGGAGAAAAAAGCAGCCTATGTTTCTTGCCGGTTCTTCACAGTATACAAGGTCTCCCGCCGTAGATTTGCGAACCGACGCCTTTCATATGTGCTTGAAAAAGTCTAAACGGAATAAATGAATATTGAATCTTAACATCTGAAATAAATGTTTATAATTAAAACTTGAATTTTTTGACGACCACCGTGGCCGAGTGGTTTACACGCCGGGTTTCATGGTGTCGCCGACTCGAGAGGTCCCGGGTTCGAATCCCGGTGAGGGCAGATGTTTGTGTGATGAATACGAGCATTTGTTCTCCAGTCATGGATGTTTCATATGTATGTCTATATAAATACACTTATATGTACAATATATGTATTCTATCCGTTACCCTAGTATGCCATAACACAAGCCTTACAGTGCTTACTTTGGGGCTAGGCCAATTGGTGTGAGTGTTGGAAATATTTATTTATTATTATTAATTTATTTCAAATATATATCATCGATATGCCCTTGAGTTACTTTAAGTTTAATATTGTAATTATGTTTTATTCAATTTAATAAGCACCAGCCTTTATCATAATGTGCACATGCAGATGAATAGCGGAAAGGTTTGTGAAATTTACTAAGCCATTTCTTATTGCTGTCCTTGTACTTAATAACAGTGGTAGAATTTAACTAACATTGAATAAAATTATCTCCGATTATTTCCGAAATTCAAATAGATTCTTCTAACTCTTTAACCCTTTTCTCGAGTATATTTGTTTGACCCTATATGCTTTGACCACAGAAAATAAAACATAACATCGATAAAAAGTATCGACTAAAGACATTCTACGTCCACCATGTTTGTTCCCCGATTTATTAATATAGGTAAACACGCGTAGTACATGCTTGTGTCATTTCCATATGATACTTCAGAGCGTTTTTCATAGTTAATGATAAGAGAAAGTCACCAGTGAGACGTCAAAATATCGGTCGACAGTCAACTGTGTGTTCCTTTTGGTGCAAATATAAATTGAAGAACGTGAGTTTAATCCAAATTTTAAGGGATTTTTAATTCTTTGAATCAAATTTTACACACGTTGATTATTTATACGCCAAAATGGAGCAATCCAAAGAAATCAACCTATATGGCTCTAATGTCATATTGTTATAAAACAGTCAATGTGTGTGTGTTGTGTGTAGCGACGAGTAATGTCCCATATGTATATATATTTGTGTCGCTTCAGTGCATTTAAAACGGTATCTAGAGTAAATCATAGTATACATATTTATTGCAACTTAATCCTATATAAGTGCGTAAAGTGTAACATTGTCGGTCCTTTTTAAGGCGGTACAAAGTTCGCCGGGCCAGCTAGTTAATAAAACAAGTAGCGGACCCGACAGGCGTTATCCTGTCCGATAAAAATAAATCCAAAAATGTATTTACCTATTTATGTAGCGCAGTAAATACGAGCACTTTAATATGTTTACAATTAATTATATATTAATTAGTTCACTTTCCTCTAACATAATTTATCACCATGGAGTTACTATTATTATTTTATATAGGTCGTCCATATATATAACTAAAGGAAATATCATATAAAGAAAAATCAGTCACTCTATAAAGCAGTTGCTCATTTGGCATGGTCTGTACGCGTAAAAAAGAATAAGCATGTTTCGTACACTCTTATTTACTTGTGCGATATGTGTCGTGTGTGTTGTTGCATCAAATGTTCACTTACACCCTCTATCTGATGAGTTCATCGAATCAATTAACTTTAATCAAAATACTTGGATCGCCGGCCGCAACTTTCCTAAGAAAACACCACTAAAATATATTTACAATCTCATGGGCACTCTCAGTGATAGTCGCATGGATAACCTACCCCAAAGAAACTATACTTTTTCAAGGAAGACAAAATATCCAAACCAATTTGACGCTCGAGAGCATTGGAAAAATTGTCCAACTTTAAAAGACATCAGAGATCAAGGTGGTTGCGGCAGCTGCTGGGCCGTAGCAGCCGTGTCAGCCATGACCGATCGCATGTGCATCCTATCCAAAGGAAAGGAGCATTTCTACTTTTCCATTAAAGATGTCCTCAGTTGCTGTAAATATTGTGGTAATGGTTGTGAGGGTGGAGTATTGACAAGGGCCTGGATATATTATAAAAATGTTGGTATCGTATCAGGAGGCAGTTATAAATCAAAACAAGGCTGCCAGCCTTACACAATACCTCCTTGTAACCACCTGGTTTGGGGAGAAATAGAACAATGTAAAAATATTCCAATGACACCAAAATGTAAAAATATTCCAGTAATACCAGAACAATGTAAATATATTCCAATAACACCAAAATGTGAAAAAAAATGTAATAAGAATTATAAAGTGTGCTATATCAAAGACAGACATCGTGGTAAAAGTGTTTACGTAGTTAAAAAGAGTGAAATCATTAAAGAAATTTATGAATACGGACCAGTCACTAGTTCTTTTACAGTATATGAGGATTTCCTGAATTACAAAGAAGGTATTTACAATTACACGTCGGGTCAAAAATTAGGTTTACATTCTGTGAAAATCATCGGCTGGGGTGAAGAGCATGGAATTAAGTACTGGCTAGCGGCGAACTCTTTTAACACTGACTGGGGAGACAAAGGTTTCTTCAAAATCATAAGGGAAGGCGTCGGAAGTTGCGGTATAAGCGATAATGTCGTAGCAGGAAGATAAGATATTTAGTTATGAAAGTTTTTTTAAGACAAAAATTATGCCTTTCAATGTTTTTATTTTATAATTTTTGTAATACATAACTCGGCACCAAAACCTGTGAGTGGATAATCACCCCTATTTTTAAAAAAATATATATTTATAGAGTCTATTTCAAGGTATCATTCCATCTGTATTTCATTAAAATCGATATACTATATCAAAAGTAACAATAAAATAAAATCAGAAAATTTTCGTTTGTATTTGTATTGTATTGACTAATATTAATTAAATTTATAAACTCACCTCTAAAGATTTGACAACGGGTCGGCTTAAACCACTTTTTAAACAGCCAATTCCTAATTCCCTATCAATCTTAATAAATATTTCAATAACATATTAAGAAAATGCTTGATGAATGGCATATTAATAGAGAAGATTCTCTATTGATATGTTTCATATCTTATTACCCTTCATATACATATATATGTTGAATGTAGGGCATAGAGAAAGGTAAATATACCAAAAGGAAATGTAGGGTAATAATATATGGTAATAAGCGTTTTGTATTTGAAAATAACAAAGAAAAAGAAAGTCATTTTCAACAAAGGGTAAGCTAAGTCTCAACTGCAACACAGTTTGTCGGCAGCAGTTCCCTTAAAAAATATAATAACCTATATATATATATATTCTAACACTAAGCTAGTAGTTGATTATAATGTAATATGAAATTATGCAACACATACATTGCGTTCTATATTGCGACTGTGACTGCATTGCACTGCACACATTATATATGTTATTATATAAAAGATACATACCACAATAAACTATAACATAATATAAGCTATTGTAATTGGAAACGAGGTGGGTATCCAGCCCACCTCGCCTCCGTTCACAACATCACAAGGTATCAGATATATAATGAAGAACGAACATATTTAAAATATTTTAAACTTTTAAAGTACTACACTTACTTTATGAAATTACTTTTATTGTTTTAAACTTTCATAGTCACTGACATTATAGTACAGTAATTAATGTTATTCAAATGTCAATGTGTAACGTTGGTGTGACTATCAGGAAACTCACTAAAAACAAGGTATATGGTAACAATCCCGTGAATAACATAAATTACTGATTTTTTTGTTTTATACCTATTATTTTTAAACTTAACAACTTTTAATAACGTTATTTTTATTATCTTCTTACATTTATGTTTCGGTAATAAGTGTTAACTGTGTAACGTGCGTGTACCCAAATTATTCAGACTTCTGTTATACTACACTGTTTCTTCATATAGTACATATTATCTAGACACGCGACAGCGTGTCAAGCCAAGTTCAAGCAAAGGAACTGGCTAGCCAGCGCCGAATGTAATATTACACGAACCACTTGATGCCACTTTTGACCCTTCTATAACTCAAAACCTCTTTAACGTAAACACATAAAACTACGTGTGTTTATTTATATCCATAAGGAAATCAAGAAGCCCAAATTTCATGAAGCTAGCTCAAACGGTTATAAAGATATGAAGGTCAAAAAGTCGTAAATTTTAGCACAGACTGACATATAGCACCTAAACCTAACCTACTTCCAGATGACCTAGAAGGATGAAATTTGGAATCCAGTTTGGTTATTGTGTGTAAGCGTAGGAAAATATCTAAAAATTAAATAAAGTAAAAAAATAGGGGGAGGGGGTCCCGTGTAGCGTTGGAACCGTTACAAGCAAATATTTGAACCTATCCCAATATATGTATTATTATATTTGCTATATAACAGAAATATAAAAATAAAGTTAAAAAAATAAGTGGTGTCCCCATACAAAAAACTTGTAATACGCGCTAAACAACCGGCCATCGGTGTGTCGACGGAGCGGCGCCGGCGCGCGGCACCACATATAATTATATACAGAAGTAAATCTACTTATAAGCGCTTCCGAACAACACATAAACATAGACACCGCTTACGAATACCGATTTTGTTATATTTCGATCTCACATTTTTATTTAAAAGCAATTGTTATAGGTATCCGATAAAGCAAAGAAATAGAGTTTAATACTTGTTCATAATGTTATTTTGATCCTATAAATACATATTTGGATTTTTCATAGAACTTGGCACTCATTTAGATCTCCATTCTATTTGCGGCGAAGCGCACAGCCAAGCATAATTTTTGTATTGAACTTGGCTCTCCTTTTTTACATTTATGTTTTTGGTGGGTAGTATATTATTTTGTATCCCTCTGCAGCTAGTATTTCCCTGCTAGGTATTGCGGGCTTGGCCCGGCTAGCAAATTTAGAATTTGCTAGACGGTGCTGAACTGGGATTTTTTCTGATTGTAGAAATAGGTATTGGGTTTTCCCGAAGGGAGAACCTGGGGAACGTAGCTCAATATACTAAAATGAGAAAACTTATTATTCTTAACTGGGTCTATTTGAGTTCAGGGAAACATACAAGTAAATATGTATTATCAACCGATCGAGTCTGTGCCTGACCGATGAGACAGAAGATTACATTACTTACATTCGAATCTTTAAATTAATGACATTTACTTTTAATTCATTTTATTTACGGATTTACAGAAGGCAATAGTCGAAACGATCCTAACAGAAATCAATCTGAAATTGGAAATAATGAATCTTACACAAAAAAAAGTTGGAAGAACGATACAGTTGAATTTTATGCTGAGCAATATCAGATGATGTCTGAATTAAGGAAAACGCCAAAATAAAATTAAAGCTTAAGAGAACAAGAATGTATACCTACAGTGAATCCCTAGAAGAAAGAATATTGCAATTAGAGCACAGAGATGTAGAAAAAAATAGAAATTGCATGTTTAGAAAAAGGAAAAAAATATGGTATGCATTATGGAAAATATAGCAAATAAGTTAAATTTAAATAACGATATAGAAGAAGTAAGGAGGGTAGAACAAGAAAAGAAAAAAGAAGGCAGACAGCGGCCGGTTGTTGTTATACTGCGTACAAAGTCAGAATGGATGAGTGGCTAAAGTAGCGAAAAGAGCCGATAACTAACAATGATATACAAAGTAACGGAAGTAATAAGCGAATATTTATCATTGAGTGTCTTACACTTAAAGCATTACACGACAGTTAACAACTTTTATGGAATACTAAAAACATCCGACTAAGGACACAAAAGCGCAACGTACCCAAAAAGACGTTGAACCTTTCCGCAGAACTGCAAGGCGAGTACGGAAAACGAATTGTATCTCGTTACGTACGATGGTCTATCAGAATGGCTATTTTGAACAGGGAATAATTTTAGAAATAATATTAGTCATAGTACTGTTTATATTTTGAGCCGGATATCTGACGTTTGTTTATTTATCGTAAAAATAGTGATGCCATAGTACCCTATTAGTTATACATTATAATCGATTGTTGTTTTTGTTACCGATGAGTGGACCATCAAAAAAAAGGTAAATTTAAAAAATCAAAAAACCCGACTGCTTAATTATTACTTCAAATAAAAACTGAAAAGGAAAAAACAAGTCCAATAGTCTATAATTCTGTTAATAAGGAACAAAGCTTCTTTAACAGTCGGGACCCATTAGATATTCAAGAATACATAATATTTTTCAATAATGGGTCCCGACTGTTAAAGTAGCTTTGTTCCTTATTAACAGAATTATAGACTATTGGACTTGTTTTTTCCTTTTCAGTTTTTATTTGAAGTAATAATTAAGCAGTCGGGTTTTTTGATTTTTTAAATTTACCTTTTTTATTTCACACTTTTTAGTTACCTAGTTAGTATCTTAAGACGGTATATACCGTAGTCTTATTACTTCAGTAAGAGAATTAATATCGCGGGAATTATTAAGTAACTTGCGGTGGTCTAAAAGATTGATTTATTAAGACATATAGAGACTTTACCAGCGGGGTCAAGGCTACAGATGGGGCTTTTTCTGCCCTTTTTCACAAAAATGTGTGAAGTTAAATCAAGTCGTTACATAAATATTTAATGTATGTAAATTTTATAGAAAACTAGCACTTATTCAAAAAGTCATGTTTTGTTTATGTTCTTTTTTTAGTAGTTTAGCAGTTAATATAAAATTCATTTCATCCGTCGACTATTTAAAATTGGCAGTGGCTGCATTGACATGTCAACGTCCGGCTCTAAGATTGTGATATACACAAATGCAGTGTCATATCCTAGTCTCATAACTTGATATACCTACATAATTCACAGAAACCCAATATGTAGATGCCAGAAGTTAACTTCAAATTTTGTTAATCACCCTATATACAATACCCACAATGACGTTTATATCGCAGGTTAAAGAAAGCAGTAATTCCCGTCTGTTGTGTTGGATGAACAATCGTGGCAACTGCCTTAGATTGCTAAATTAAATAATTATGAAATCACCAAAGCAAAGTTTATAATATTTGATTAAAGTAAAGGCGCATAATAAAATGTTCATAACGTTAGGTAGAGCACCATAGCAATCTCATTTATTATCTACTATATAAAAATAAGTCGGGTTTTCCTTCCTGACGCTATAACTTCAGAACGCATGAACCGATTTCCACGGTTTTGCATTCGTTGGAAAGGTCTCGGGCTCCGTGGGGTTTATAGCAAAGAAAATTCAGGAAAAATTATAAAAAAAATCTTCTTTTAATCACCAAACGAAATGTTACATAAAAAGAAGCCATCTGGTGGCGAAACGGAGTTCGCCGGGTTTGCTAGTCAATTTATAGTTTTCTTTTAAAGCGTTCACTAACAGGTCAAAGACTTTGTGATCGACCCTTTCTATTGGTAGTGTAAAGCTCGAATGAAGAGTACTTCCACCTATCAAGCGTGCTGCTACCAGCCTAGTAGGT